AAGGAGCTGGAATAGAGATGCTTGTACTGTGTAGGAAATTGTAGAATCATTGCAGTAGCAAAAAAAAAAAAAAAGAAAAAAAAAGTTAAATAATATGAGGGTAGGAAAATGCATTCTCAAAAACTACGTGTGTAATTTTGGTCACTCCGTTCAGATGATCACTCTAAAGCACTTTGAAATAGTCATTGGTATGTGACACAAAGAAACTCTTGTAATATTTTGGAGTTGAGTATGCTACATTTTTGCTTAAATGACTTGCTCTGTTACAACACATCAAGTCATGTGATACTCATAGATCTCTTAGATATTTATTTTGTCTTCTGGTTAGTGTTAAGAATCTATGAAGGCTGTTTATTTTATTAAAATAATCAAAAATGTTATTAAATGGTTATTTGGCTAGGCATAAACTAGACTCTGTACAAATCGCATTATTAGATATGGCCATGGTATTTTAACATCTAAAATAGAAATGTAAAATAACATTTTAAAAAGGAGATGATAAAAGTAAATTATTATTGGAAGTACGACTAAGTAATAATTGTGAGAGTAAATATTTATGTCTAAATAAAGGGATCGAGGTTTATCACACATAAGGTGCCAATCCGGTTATGATGTTATATTCCAAAGACTGGCAACCTATACCCTGCACATCAAAAATAATTTTATTTCTGACAAGGACTCTTATTAAGTAAAACATGACCCTTGTTCGCTTCTTCCTTCCTGGGAAGGGATGCCTCCTTAACACGTTCTGGTACTCTGGCTCATTTGGGAAGTAGCAACTTGAGGTCAACTCACAAATACCTTGACCATCCCTCCCCCATCCTCCACACACAGAAGAAGTAAGGCTACTGCAGTGGCACACATCTGTAATCCCATCACTTTGGGAGGCTGAAGCAGGAGGAATACTTGAGCCCAGGAGTTCAAGACCAGCCTGGGCAACACAGTGAGACTCTGCCTCTACAAAAAATGACCAGGCATGGTGGCACATGCCTGTAGTCCCAGCTACTTGGGAGACAAAAGCAGGAGGATCACTTGAGCCCAGGAGTGAGTCAAGATCACACCACAGCCCTCCAGCCTGGGTGACAGCAAGACCCTGTCTCCAAAATAAAAAAGAAGAAGAAGAAGTGAGGCTGGAATTTGTGGGGCTAAAATTTGGAATGCTGTGTATAAAGGACTGACCTCAGACCCAGCCCAAAGACAAACCCCAGAAATAGAATCAGATCCTGGATGGGTGGGTGGATGGATGGAGAACGGAGGATAAAAAACAAGAAAGAGGGGGATGGAGGGATAGAAAGACGAAGAAAAGAGGGAGGGAAGGATTTGAAGAAATACTCAAGGCTTCCTTTTTGCTTCATTTTCCCTAAAGTCATATTTTCAGTTAATCCTATTTTCCTATGAAAGCAATGTGTCATACTCTTCTAAAAATAAGAAAATAGCCAGCTCCACAAGATGCAATAATACAAGCATATTGTAGAATGAAGCCAAACTTTTAAAAGCAACACATGTTAAGGGGAAAAACATAGTTTATATGGTGTCATGAATCTGACAGTATAATTTGCCTCAACCTGCCTCATATAAAAAGTGCAATAATAATATAATATCTCGGTATTAATTAAGTGCTTATTATGAGTCAGGTACTCTCCTAAGAACTTTATATGTATTAAATGTGGAATTTTCACATCAACCCTATGGGGTAATTATTGTTATTGACCATGCTGTGGAGATAAAGTTAACTGAAGACCAGACAGATGAGGTCATTTATTATAGCCTCATTTGATTTTTATTGGAGATGTGGTCATTCTAATACTGTAACCTATTTTTAACAGGCTTTATTTTTCTTTCTTCCTCTCTTTTCCTCCTACCTTCCCACCAAATACGTATAAAAATGTTTATGATGGCAGATACTGACCTAAGACCCAGCCTAAAGACATAGCCTCTGGCATCTTGGAGATGCATATAATTCTTTTTTATGAGGCGGGGTCTCACTCTGTTGCCCAGGCTGGAGTGCAGTGGCAGAATCTTGGCTCACTGCAACCCCTGCCTTCAGGTTCAAGCAATTCTCCTGTCTCAGCCTCCCGAGTAGCTGGGATTAAAGGTGCCCGCCACCACACCTGGTGAATTTTTTGTATTTTTAGTAGAGACAGAGTTTCTGCCATATTGGCCAGGCTGGTCTCAAACTCCTGACCTCAGGTAATCCACCTGCCTCGGTCTCCCGAAGTTACGGGCGTGAGCCACTGTGCCCAGCCACAATGTTAATTCTTTAACCATTTATTTTTTCTTTGCTTGAAATTATCATATTCTTTACAAAATTATTTGCTAGAAGAACTCACAACGTGAAATAAGAGGAAATAGAAGGACCTACAGCCCAGTGTTCATTACAGAGGCATTGATCAGAGGTCCAGAGTTTAGACTTGGAGGCCAGACTGCTTGTGTTTGAGCTCAGTTCTACCTTAATAATCCTGCAACCCTAGTTCATTTTTAAAATTTTCCTATGCCTTGATTTCCTTACCTATAAAACAGAAATAATAGTGGCTACCTCTTAGGGTTGTTGCTTTGGTACTTACAAAGCAATACAATTATGCCTGACACGGTATAAATGAGCTGTTATATAATGAATTACTCTACATTTGATTTTCTTTCACTAATGAATTTCTGTTACATAAGGGAAATCTTTGGAATTTTGAGCCTTACTAGATTTGGAGAAGGATCACTGAACACCAGCAACAGTTCTCAAGCAAAGAGTAAACAAAAGCAATAAAAATGCAGAGGAGAGATGGCAAGAATTAGGAAGTCATGTTTCTCCACTTTATGTGGAATTCCGTCAGTTCATGTAGACCACACATTGTGATGGACATCCATGTTTGTTTGTTTTTTCTTTTTTAAAAAATGTGAAATAAAGAAATCAGTGCTTATTAAATGAAGTTTAATAGACCAAAAAAAAAAAAGTGTTTACAACATAGAGGCAAAGGATAAAAATAACAGAGATAAATTGGTCATGAAAGTATTGGAGCCGGACCCAGTGGCTCACAGCTGTAATCCCAGCACTTTGGGAGGTCAAGGCAGGTGAATCACTTGAGGTCAGGCATTCAAAACAAGCCTGGCCAACATGGTGTAACCCCATCTCTGCTAAAAGTACAAAAATTAGCTGGGCATGGTAGCACATGCCTGTAGTCCCAGCTACTCAGGAGGCCAAGGCAGGAGAATTGTCTTAACCTGGGAGGTGGAGGTTGCAGTGAGCCGAGATCGCACCACTGCACTCTAGCCTTGGCAGTGGAGTGAGACTTTGTCTGAGAGGGAAAAAAAACAAAGAGAAAGAAAGAAAGGAGGAGCGAGTAGGGGAGGGGAGGGGAGGGGAGGGAGGGAGGGAGGGAAGAAGGAAGGAAGGAAGGAAGGAGAAAGAAAGAAAAAAAGAAAGGGGAAGAAATTGAGGGTCACTGTTCTGAAACTTCTGTACATCTTAAAGAATTATCTCATGATTCAGAATATCAGTCATGCGGTGCACTTAAGATACGGTTACCTGCCGCAAATATTTGAGGAAGATCTCTAAATGCCTGAATAATCATCAATGATTACAGAATTTTAGAACAAAAGAAGACTTTAGAGATTAGTTGTATGTGGCTGGTTGGCTTTGGTTAGGATAGTTATTACTTTAGAAATTAAATTCCTCCCTTTGGTAGCCCTGAAAATGTGTACCACCGTGGAAAGCATCTCAGTAAAAATTACAGGAAATGGTATTGGTCTGTGGTGTAGTGGAACATTTTCCTCTGCTGAGGTGTTCCCTTTAGATAGTGATCAAAACTATCTGAGGGTCATTTAGCATCCATGTGTTACACTTTTAAAGAGCATTTCTGTTTAAAACACACTTTTCACAAATTATGCTTGGAGCTCACGTACAGTCTTCTGAAAATGCCTGTGTAGCTTACCGAGAGATGCCTGATACTCTTCAATTTAAAATTTCCTATAGAAAATGAGAGGAGCGGGGCTGGGCGTGGTGGCTCAAGCCTGTAATCCTAGCACTTTGGGAGGCCGAGACGGGTGGATCACGAGGTCAAGATATCGAGACCATCCTGGTCAACATGGTGAAACCCCATCTCTACTAAAAATAGAAAAAATTAGCTGGGCATGGTGGTGCGTGCCTGTAATCCCAGCTACTCAGGAGGCTGAGGCAGGAGAATTGCTTGAACCCAGGAGGCGGAGGTTGTGGTGAGCCAAGATCGCGCCATTGCACTCCAGCCTGGGTAACAAGAGCAAAACTTTGTCTCAAAAAAAAAAAAAAAAGAAAGAAAGAAAAGAAAAGAAAAAGAAAAAAAAAAAGAAAATGAGAGGAGCTTTCAAAATTAATCAGTTTTTCCATAGGAAACTTTGTTGGTGTAATGAGAAAAATCAAACTTAAATTTAGTGTGTAGTTAATTAGAGTTTGAGGTTTCCCACAGTACTTTGAGGATAAAAGCTATTCATTTTGCATATCCAACTAGAAATTTGAAAACAGACCAGGAGCAGTGGCTCATGCCTGTAATCTCAGCACTTTGGGAGGCCGAGGTGGGTGGATCACCTGGGGTCAGGAGTTCAAGACCAGCCTGACCAACATGGTGAAACCCCATCTCTACCAGAAATACAAAATTAGGTGGGTGTGGTGACTCATGCCTTTAATCCCAGCTACTCGAGAGGCTGAGGCAGGAGAATCACTTCAACATGGGAGGTGGAGGTTGCAGTGAGCCAAGCTCGTGCCATTGCATTCCAGCCTGGGCAACAAAAGCAAAACTCTGTCTCAAAAAATAAAAATAAAGCACAGTGAAAAATGCCTTTTTACTCATGAATCCTACAGTTCTTTCATTGCCCTTATGAAGAGCACCTCACCGGTTAAATTGGTGTTGCAGAAAAGTTGTACAGCAAGTAAAAGCCCTGTTGTATTTTAATAAAAGCACAAATATCTCCTTAGATGAAAATGCAAACTTAAGGGTAAACTCATGAAGGTCCTGACAGCTGGGATGTTCTTTCAGCTTCTACAGATGACAGTGCCGCTGAGAAGAAAGGGGGAAGCCTCCACGCTGGCCTCATCGTTGGAATTCTCATCCTGGTCCTCATTATAGCCACAGCCATCCTTGTGACAGTGTATATGTATCACCATCCAACATCAGCAGCCAGCATCTTCTTTATTGAGGTAAGTGTTGAGTTTAACACATGATAACCACACCAGTTGATGAACTGTATCCATTTGCTAACACCACCTGGATTTAATGTTTAGCACATGATTTCTCCATTTTTCAATTTCGAGCTTTCTGATTTCACACACATGTATGCAGTCACCCACGCTCACACGTACATGTGGATAGATTGCTTGCAGATGATGGGTCCAATTACCTTATCTCTGGAGCTTTTAAAGACATAAACTATCTTGTCTTTCTGAGATCCAGAGGAAAATGAGAACCATACCTTTGGGTCCTTTCATACCAAGTATGTTAACCAGCTGTTCTCCTTGTCCTGGGAGGAAATACTATGTTTCTGGGACGCTAAAGACTTAGGTTAAGTCGATTGCTCATTGAACGCTAATTGAGTATTGGCTGTGTGCGTGATTGAATATGGTGGGCCTCTTCTCAAAATGCTCACAAACTGGAAAAAAATATGGCTTTGACTACAAAATGACAGCTATAAAAAATAAAGTAATGGTATGTGCTGTTGCCATTTTGCATCATGTGTGTACATTTGTACATTTATATATAAATGCACAGACACACATATGCACACACTCAGACACACAGTGAGAGCACTGTGCTGAATCAGTGTTATGTCTTCATGTACATTGGTTTAGTGCCACTGCTGAGGAGTCAACAGGGGGGAAGACAAGGGACTATGCATAAGGAGCCATGACTAAGCCCTGGGGTCTAAAAGGCTGAAACCAGGAAGCCTGGAGACCAGTAGATACAGTCTGTGTGTCTGTGTGACCAAGTCACCTCTCTCCTCCAGAAGGTTGGGTTTCCTGGGCCCCATGCATATACGGCTTTTTTTTTTTTCTTTTAAGACAGACTCTCACTCTGTCACCCAGGCTGGAGTGCAGTGGTACAATCTCAGGTCACTGCAACCTCTGCCTTCTGGGTTCAGGCGATTCTCATGCCTCAGCCTCCTGAGCAACTCGGACTACAGGCAAGCACCACCACACCCAGCTAATGTTTATATTTTTAGTAGAGACGGGGTTTTGCCATGTTGGCCAGGCTGATCTTGAACTCCTGATCACAAGTGATTCTCTAGCCTTGGCCTCCCAAAGTGCTGGGATTACAGGCGTGAGCCACCATGCCCGGCTGCATGTGAACCTCTGACTCTAACATTTGAATGGAATGACTCTTCCAACACTAAATAGAACTAGAAATAATAAAGCAATAAGGGAAATCTCTTGTAGAATTTCAAACACGTAATTAGAATTATTCATTGTATGACACACAGAAATTGCTTGGAATTATGTTCACTTGTTGAGTGAGAAATTATAATGCCTTTTAAACTACAGAGTTAAAATTGCCTGTACCCTTTATAATGGGGAAGGGTGAATAAATGTGAATCAAACAATTTCTTAAACATCCTAGATAGCTGGCAACTGTCTATAGAATCAAGTGCCATCCTCCTTTTCCTTCTTTGGGCACTCAAGGCCTTGGCACTCTCAATCTTATGTGTCATTTCACCTTTATTCCCTGGGCTCCCCAATCTGAGTTGGCATTGCTGTCAAATCTCACGCTTTGTTCATCTCTGTACCTACCCCAAATTCTCCTTGCCACAAAGACATTGCTCATTCTAGTTCCTCCATCAAAAATTCCTCCTGATCAGGTATGGTGACTCACGTCTGTAATCCCAGCACTTCGGGAGGCTGAGGCAGACAGATTGTTTGAGCCCAAAAATTCGAGACCAGCCTGAGCGACATGGTGAAATATCATCACTACAAAAAATAGAAAAAGTGAATGGGGCATGGTGGTGCATGTCTGTAATCCAAACTACTTGGGAGGCTGAAATGGGAGGATTGCTTGAGCCCAGGAGGTCAAGGTTACAGTGAGCCATGACTGTGCTAGCCTGGGTGACAGAATGAGACTCTTGTCTAGAAAAAAAAAAAAAATCATCCCTTCCCATATTAGTTCTTGAATTCAGGAGCCAAAGGCCTTTGATACCGTGTACCCCATAAGCTTTCCTAGACTATCTTCCTGCCTCAGCAGCTGGGTATAATCTCTCGCTCTTCTGAAACTCTATCTGCAGGGATACACCCCTACTTTTCTCTGGCATTAATCTTTCTGTTTTGCATTAGAGTTCAATATGCACATGATTTATTCCATCCTGCAAGACTTGTAAGTACCTTAAGATTTGGATTAAATCACTTAGGTTTCCTTTGAAAAATAGGAATACTGCCAATAATTCCTGGAAAAAATGTTCATCATAAATATCCTAGGACGTTTCAGATTTCCAGTGAAATTTCATCTAAGACATATTCCAGAAATGGTGTCTTCATTTGATATCAGAAATTGAGATACTATCAGGCATAGCTCTGAATTGGAAATCTGATATTAAGTTCTGTTAATGTGCTTGATTTTCTTGGAAGAAAGTAGACAACCTTCTCAAAGTTACACATGCATTCTTCAAAGAGCTGCTGAGTGACAAGCTAGAAAGCCTCAGGGACTAGGCAGACCTCAGGCTGCTGCTACTGCCGTAACCCCTCACATGTCTAAGCCTTTTCAAACTGTGCAGTTTATTTTCTGACATGGTGAAAAAGAAGACACTGTGAAATATCTGATGGTGATGGTATTAGCGGCAAATTGCACAGCATGAAGGACCTAGTTAAAGCTGGTTCAAGGCAACCCCCGTGTGATTGCAAAACAGTGGAATATTGTTTTGAGTATTAGTCTCATTGTCTTATGTCTCAGAGCCTGTATGTCCAAATGTGTGGAGTGTGTTTGCATGTGTATACATACACATGCATTTATAGAATATTAGAGCTAGATGGAATCTTAAAGATAATTTAGTTCTATACTCTTCTAACACAAAGGGAGAGACTGAGTGAGGCTCAGAGGATTGGAATGACTTATCCAAGGTCAAAGAGCCATAGTTCTAAAAATAACTCTTTCTTCTTTTCACATGTAAGTGAAGCAGATTCATTCAGCAGGTCTCCCAGCTTTTCTCCTCTTGAGTTATTTCCTTCCTGTGGAGTCAATTGTTAGCATCTGCTTAAATCACTACCTCTCTGACACGCTGCTGGGGCCATGCAGCTCACAGTCCCAGTCAGCAGCTGATTTTTGGAAGGTGATAACCATAACTTTAGTATTAGTAAAGCTGACCACTATTTGCATAGTCAAAACAGATCCGCGATGACCATGCAGTTTGTGATACAAAGATGTATGACTTTGAAGATTTTGAATTATTAGTTACATTAGAATCGTTGATGCATAAATGAAGGAACTGAATATAATAACATTCTTTTCACTGCCTTTTATATTTTATATTATGTTCCTGTCTACTTTTTAAATGAAATTGATGTGCTTTCTTCTTTTATGAAAATGATACCATTCTTTATAAAAAATTGAAACAATGCAAAAATGTAAAAGGAAGGGGGAAAAGTCATTTATAATTCCAGCATGCAGAAATGATGACTATTAATAGTTTATTTTTTTTCTGGAATTTTTATATACATAATTTGATGTTTGCCCATTTAATACAGTGGTGATTGCACTGTAATGCCAATTGTTTTTTAATAACATTTTTCTGTTTTATTATGATGGCTTTGTAAACATCATTTTAATGTTTGTATTCTATTCTATTCAACATTCATTCAGTAGCTTTCTATTGACTGCCTCTTATGTGGTGAAGCGGTAACTCGGGATGCACTGAGACTCTAACACGTGCCTAGATGTCAAAATCGACCTTGTTCCACCCAAATGAAGACTGTGTGTTAGTTTTCTACTGCTATTGTAACAAATTGACCCAAACCTAGTTACTTAAAATAACACACACTTGCCTTATAGCCCCGGAGGTCAGAAGTGCTAAAATCAGGATATTGACAGGGCTGATTCCTTCTGGAGGTTTCAGAGGATAATCATTTCATTGCCATTTTCAGCTTCTGAATGCTGCAGGTGTTCCTTGGCTCAGGGTTTCTTCTCATATCCTTCTAACTTCTGTTCCCACCGTCTTATCTCCTACAACTAATGTTGACCCTCCAGCCTCCTCGTAAGGCCCCCTTTTGCGACTACACTGGGCACACCTGTATGATCTAGGTGCTGTCGATATGTGGCTGCTGGCTATGTGGACTGTTGAGCTCTTAAAATGTGATTAATGAAAAACAAGGTATGTGTAAAACACACACTGGATTTTAAAGTCTGAGTACAAAAAATAATGTCACTCTCTCATCAATAATTTTTGTATAATTACATGTTCACATGATAGTATCTTGGATAAGCTTAGATTAAATAGGATTTATTACAATTAATTTTGTTTGTGTTTACTTCTTAAATGGACACTAGTTATTTTTTAAATTATACGTGTGGCTCACAGTATGTTTCTATTGGATGGTGGTTTGTAGAGAAAACTTGGCAGAAAGAAAGAATTAGAAAGAAGAGTTGGTTCCATATTTTTTTAAAAGTAGGCCATCTACTGGTTTTTAGCAAGAGGGAAAGAAGGAGATTATGAGGAGGCAGAAGCCTGCCAAAGCCAACTGATATGTTGACCAGTCACTCATTCATGTATTTAGTATTTGTTGAGCTTCTATCATGCACCAAGTCCCCACAGTACACTGGTAAGCAAAATGAGCAAGATCATCCTTTCCTTCAAGGAGTTTACATTCCAGTGGGTGGAGACAAATGATAAACACATTTTAAGTTAGTTGTGGATTTCACTTTGAATGATGAGTTTTACAAAAGAGGCAGTCACTCTAAAATATTGGATAAAATGTTACCTTTTTTGATTGCTCGAACAATGTTACCTTTTTTGATTGCTTAAGCTGGGGAGGTGGAGGTTGCAGTGAGCTGAAATCTCACCACTGCACTCCAGCCTGGGTAACAAACAGGGTGAGACCCCATCAAAAAAGTTACCTTTTTTGAGCATTAAGGTACTACTCAAATAATCAGTGATATATTACGATATTTACGTCTGAACTTGCAATTTGATAATAGGTGGTATTATCATCATCATTATTTTATC